GTTACCTAAAATTGATATCCGGATATCTGTGTATCCGTACAGATATCCAGATTTTATATCCACGGATCGGATCACTACCTCGAAGCAATGAAACCTCACCTTAAATTAGTTCAAGGTTCATTGGACAAAGAAAAATCCATTTGGCGAAAGCGGTTTCTTATCTTTTTGGATAGTGTTCTTGTTGAAGAAGAACGGGAGTTACAAGACGATAATAGTAACGCGCGACTCGAAATGGCAACCTTACTTATTCAACAAGTTTGTTAACTTTCTATTTTACTCTGAATCGTCAAAAGTGTGTGAAAGTTTCGTGATCTCTGAGTAGTGACGACCTGCTCGGGATATGGGGTGACGTTCCCCAGCGCAATATTTCACGGGCTTCTCTGCTGATGCACAGCCTAGGGCGGTGACGGTCCTCCTGCGGGTATGGGGTGACGTTCCCCGGTGTAGCAGTTGCGGGGTGACGTTCCCCCAGAAAGCTCATGAAATGATGTGTATTAAACACGATAATTTTCTTTATATATACTAACTACTTTCTATTCTGAGTTCAGAAGCACCCACCTGAAGCAACGGAGTTTTGGGAGAATGCTGATCTAGAGAAACAGCTGAAGGCCAAAGAGGTGTGTATGAATTTAAATATTCCTCCTTGGAGTCCAATGAATTTTGATTTAACATGTATTTCACATGTCAACTTTTTAGGATATTTTCGATAAGAAATCGCAAATAGAAGGATTGGATGTGCTCTGCGTTTCTCGTAGTCAGAAAGCTGGCGAGTATTTTAATAAAGTTAAATTACGCCTAATGAAACAAGCTGAGATGGCAAGAGAGGAAGAAGCAGGTACATCATCTGGACATAAGCAAGTACGTTTTGAGGAAGAAAAGTCGAAGAAGAGAAAAAGGGTCGGTATACTGTATAACTTAAATTTCGTCCGCAAAAAAACATCTTTTACAGAAGGTAATCGAGTTAATTTCTTTAGGGGGATACTTTACCAAATGGAACCAAAATTAAAAAATCGGCTCCTATGAACCTAATACCATCGGATGATGATGATTCCTTCCAAGATGATGATGATTCCTCCCAAGACGATGACGATTCCTCCAAAGTAGATGACTGCGATCACGATTATAATAGCGATGATGAAGAAGATGTACCTGCTCCGGAAGAAACTCTTGATTCCATCCTTAGCAACAAAAAAACCTGGATTTTGCCCTCTGGGAAATGTTTTAATGATATTGTTGCTAAGAGAATATCCGCGAACGCGAAGGCAATTAAAAAAAAGAAGAGACTATCGGCCGTTGAAAAAGCCATATTACGCTACGGAGCATCGCAGATAATCGACTTATCTGCACACATGAAACAATGGTTTTTGATCGAAGATAGGGAATTCATAATGAAAGATTATAAGGCTTTGTTACAAGTTTCCGAAATGCCAGACGGAGAATGTTCGTTTATCAAAATAGTTGAGGATGTGCGTGTTTTGTTTTTCTTTTCTTCGAATTTGTCTTGTTGTTCTATATGCCCATATTATATCATTATATCATACTACTCATTATTTTATAGATGGTGCATAAAGGGAAAGTGGATGAGGCGTTCAAGTTCTGTACGGAAAAGCATCTTAGCTCTGAAAAAAACAGCTACATATGCAAGATCAGCAAAATATATGCCGATTTGTAAGTGATTTGTTTTACTGTCTAAAATTTTCTATTCTCTATTTTTTTTTGTGATTAACTTTATTATTCATATGTACAGTATATATAAAAGCCAAGATCAAGCTGACATCTTGGATTACAATGCAAAGAATACACACACGGAAATGGATGTGATTTTAAAAGCCTGTGCGTACATAATTGAGGGATTGAACAAGAACCTCGAAATATTTCCAAGATGGTTAGTATAATGATTTATTGTTTGTTTGCTTCATTATTTTTACAAGCTATACTTTTATTATCTTAGGGGCGAATCATTTTGCCCGTTAAGCAGGAGTATAGACCACATCAGGGGCCGTAAATGTGATGTGCGTTTTTTATCGATGTCGGGAGTTGATGTTGGGGAATGGGAATTTTCTGCAAAAGCTACAGCATCTAAGGCCATCGGTGACCGATGCCGTTCTGCACGAATAAATCAATCGATCTTAAACGGATTATTGGAATACAAACTTAGTGATGAACAGGTTAAGAACATCCGGGTGCCTTTTCTACAATTCGCCGGTACAAGTGGACAAATGCTTGTCGAAGATCTGGTAGAAGATTTTTATCTTGTTTTTCCTGGACCTAAGTTCGAGCTTCCTACAAAACTTCAGAATATTGGAAAATTG